TTAATCAAAAAGTTGTTTATTGAAACTACCTTGTTTTTTGTATCATGAGCCTATACAATGATTTTGAGTTAGACTGGAAAAGTCGCAACACGAAAAATTAAAAGCAACTTTTTCGGTTAAAGGACTCCACAAAAATATACGCCATTAAATTTTAGCGTAGATCCGTAATGATAAGACTAAAGGGAAATGCAGTTTGTAAGGGGCAAACGCAAGTTAATCTAGTATAACTTAAAATTTAGTTCTAATAGCAAACATGCAATTTTTGTCTCAAAACTTACATCATAAAGAAAGAACATGCTGGTTTTTTATTCAAAGTTTCATTAAAGTCGTTCACCAAATTTATACGTAAAACGCGTTGCTTAAAATAGTTCAAAATAAAATATTCCATGCAGCTGCAAATGCCAGCAGCACTACAGCAGGAAACTGTATACCAGCACTACTTTCCGCAAGCGGAAACAATTTATCCCACAAAGCATAGCGGTCCACATAGAAGGGATCGCCCGTAGATGAATTCGAGTTGATGTACATAACAACGGTATTATTGGCAGTATATGGCGACCAAGTAACGTTCTCTATAAGTGGTGGTGAGCTGGGGGGAAAAGGAGTTTGTATTGGAAAATTTCACTTGGTCAAGCTGAGTTTTACTCACCCATTTGCGGTGAATGAGGCAACCAAATTAGTTATGCGTTCAACCATCAACATATCTGTGGAATTGTCGTTAATTTCTAGGTATCTGCGTTTCAAAATATAATTAAGATCATCCCCATGTAGTTAATATTTCTTCCTACTTTCTGTACTTACCTTGTGACATTCCAGCACTATCCGGAAACCAAGACTTTTCACCAACGTAGTCAAAACGGTAATAACAGACATTCGTGTGATCTTTTGCCAACTGTACCAATCTATACACGCCATGTCCGATAAGAGCATCCGATAGGATTTGACCGAGACAGAGGAGATTATATTGGTTTATGCTGGATTCATTGTAATAAAACTGACGTATACTCTTCGCACGCTCATTATCGTTGCCGGTGCTATTGAATTCAAAGAACTCTTTTGCATAAAGACCAAAGTTCATGTCGATTTCAGATCGGTGTTGTTTTGTATAACTGCAAAAAAGAACACAATTTGGGATGACTAGTTACTCCCAATTGTACTGAATATTCAAGATGTTCCTAGAAAAGTCGCACATACTGATTTTCGGGTCATAAAATGAGGAACAAGTATAAAGCATTTATTGTTTAGCATTTAAGGTGCAGGATTTTAGGAGTGCTTGTTTGATGCGAGTGTGATACTGTTTGATAAAACCAAGGATGCAAGAGGCGTAAGCCTTGATCAAGGCAAAGCGACCTTCGCCACGAAGGTAAGTTCTCTTTCCTGCTGAAAGCTACGTCTGGGATAGGACCCTTCAAAAGCCCCTCTTATCTATAAGTTGTCTGGGAGCTTGACCAATTTTTAATGAGACTGTTAAAGAAGGAGTATGCAGAAATCATCTAATCAGTTTTGGTAAACTGCTGGTAAGAAATGGTAAAATAATTATCACTTATCTTTTAAAATTTTCTACTTAGTGAAATCATCACTTAAACAATTTATCGATTTGCACGAGACCCTCGAGGATTATTGCTTAAATAAACAAGTAATTTTTTAGCAAAAAACAAAACCGACTCCAATTCTCGTGTAAAACTTTAAGATTACCGTTAATTTCTTCATAGTCCAATAATCGGATCTAAACCAAATTAGAATGGGACTACCTCGGAGGTACTAGAGGTTTACGCCGCCGAGCCACGCCGCTGCCGCCGCCGTGTTTTTGTCATTCTTCGCGCACCACCGCCGAATTACGAAAATATCGTCGCGGCGGCGGCGGTGTTCGGTGTTCTGCGTCTAAGGAATTTTGTATAAAATTTTCATGATGTATGCACATTCATGTACAAAAAATCTTTGCGTATTTTCATTTGACCCCACACTATTTCTTATTTCCTCATCGATTTTCTTCATTAGTAATTTGATTTTTTTTTTTTTGTAACAGAACATGCAAAAATTTGGCACAGAACCTGTTATTTTTTAAATATTCCTTCTGTTAAAGTTTGATTTTTTTTCATTTTTTCGTTAAAAAATAAAAATGGCTGGAATGATTAATTAATTTTTCAGAAACTATTAGCCCTATAGGAAGTCATGGAAATGACATTTAATTTGTTATTGTATTGTATTGTATTGTAAGAAATACGTAACTATTTTTTATTTTTTTTTAACTAATAAAACATTTGAATACTTTTAGCGTTTTTTTAGCCCCAGCCATTTTTTATTTAGCTGTTTTAAGCTCTTTTTTGTCCATTTAGTTGGATCGCTGAAAACTTCTGGCAACACTGATAACAACATATGTATAACTGATAATCATTACTTACTAGGCGACACGTTTGCTGAGGTTCCACGGTGTGGATACAAGCAATTGTTTAATATGTGCCGTTACTATGTAGAAATCTTCCTTCTGTGTTCCTGGAAAAGAGCAGCGGAAGTATTTTTGCAAAGAACTTCTTTCTGCGTAGGCAGCCTTCGGCCACGCTTAAGGATTATAACCCTTACGAAAATTGGCTTTCTGTCACTATATAAGGAGTGTCATAATTCAGAATTTCAAAATTCATAAGTGGTGGTCAAATCCCAGGAATGTTTTGCTCCATCGCATCGCAATGTTTTCCTCACAGGGTTAAAGTTCCCCCCTTTTTGGTGAAAATTAGTAGTATTTTTCATTACATTCGGTTATCGTTAGGAAAATTTGGCGCTTTATATTTTTTAAACAGTGGTGGGATTTGATGGGTAAGGGTACGTCCACTAAGAAAGCGGAGCCGAGCCGAGCGAAGCCTTTTCGAGCTGAGTGAAGCTTTCAAATTGCTGTAGCTATATGAAAGTGTTTATACAGCAAGGTTTTTCATTAGCGTTTTGGAGCTGAAAGCAAAGCAGGTTTTGATTTTGAATTTTCTATTGAATTAATATTTTAATTCAATTAATATTTTCTATTTAATTAATATTTTATGTTTCATGACGCTGCTGCAAACAAGATATCAATATATTCAAATCAAAATGAATTTTACAACGAATCTTTTGAACAAAATTGAGCAAATATTTTTGCCGCTTTTCATTGACGTTATGTGGTATCTTTGCAGCAGAGTCCGTGAGAAAAGCTGCGCTTCGCTTCATTCAGTGTGACCATCAGCAGCTTCGCTTTGTTCCGCCTTGCTTCGCTCGGCGCCACTCGGCTTTCTATGTGAACGCACCCTAAAACTGTTGGAATAAAGTAGACCGCCCTTGTTTTCGAACTACAATTCGTAAAAAGCGAAAGAACTCCGTAATTAAATATAAAGGTGGATAACATTATTACAAAAAGTTTTTAATAGCGACATAAATTACTCCAAAAACTCAACTTTAAACTTTTTTATAGCTTTAAAATAGAAATAGAAAACCACGAAAATATGTATGTATGTACCTCAGACCTTCTTCTGTTCGCTCATCCATCAATAATGACTTAAATAGTATTATAATCTGAATTGGCATGGCGAATGCCTAACGCAGACTAGATGGCCTGATAAGATTAATAGCCTCACGGCTCTTTGGAATCTGCATTGTGGGAAGTAAAAAAATACTCCGACGAATATATAAAATCCTCATTTTTTTGAAGTTGGTTAAAAACAGAAAAAATAATTATTAATTTTTTAATAGCTATGTTTTAATATTTCTAATAAAATTTACAAAAAAAAATCTCAGCCGTGAATAACAGATTTTTAAGCTAAATAATAAAATCGAGAACGTCATTCATGGAAGTGTGCACTTACACTGTGAGTCGAAATCGAGTTCATCTTGGGTGACGCCAGTAATGATTGGCACACGATTAATCCGGTTTCCACCTATTGCCTCGCTAGGATCCTCCAATACAAAATTGCCGTCAATTTCATAATTCCAATTTGCACTTAGAATTCCATAGGTATCCCATCTCACCGACGCGTTAGTTATATCTTCCCAACTGATCTGCCTTAAGCAATTTACTAAATATTTAGCCTCATACATGGGACA